AAGGAAAAAGTTGCTTCAGGTTGCTCGAACCGAAAAAAGTTGCTTCAAAAGTTGACGAGCACAATCGGGACATGGCTACTTGCACTGGTGTGAGCCGAGCTTAAAGTGTATATGGCATGAAATTTATTATTTTCTTAAATGAAAGAACTCTTTAAGTTGTAGTGTAATTTATTTTTCAGTTTCTTGTTTTTATGATTTGTTCCCGAGATATTTCAATTTGTTTGATATGTAAATGAGTGTGAATATGTCTGCTAATTTATGACGTCATGTTGGTTGCAAGCTCAACTTACACTGGTTGAATAACACTACTATCATCCAAGATGATAATTTCAAACTTCACTCACTGGTAAATGTGATTAAACAATGGAGAAAAACGTGAACTGATATCAACAGTTTTTAGAGTTAATACATTTACAACCAGTGTAAGTTGAGCTGGCAACCAACATGACGTCATAAATTGGCGGACATATTCACGCTCACTTACATATCAAACAAATTGAAATATCTCGGGAACAAACCATAAAAACAAGAAACCAAAAAATATAAGTTACACTACAGCTTAAAGAGTTCTTTCATTTAAGAAAATAAGAAATTTCATGTCATATACACTTTAAGGAAATCGTGTTTTAGTATAATGAAGGGCGAATATCGTTCGGTTGTTGATTAAAAAAGGGAAACTGAAGCTTTTTATACAGACTTTGATGTAGAATCAACTAGCGGTTTCCAAGTTTCCATCGACCGTCCACGCGGATCGGTGCTCACTATACGAAATAAATTTGCGATTATTGCATACAAATTACCAAGAAAAATATCGGTACGTGAAATGTCAGCATGAGCTCCACCTTTGAATTTACTATATGAATTCTTAAACTCGTCCGAATTTATCATAAATTCGCGGCACATTTTTGAATTTATCATAATAATAAATTCGCGGCACCTAACCTTAACCCTAACCCCAACCCTTACCACTAACCCCTAACCATTAACCCCTAACCCCTAAACCTAACACTAACTTTTTAAACTTTTTAAACTTTTTTGAAAATCTAACTTTTTAAACTTTTTTTGCTTTTTAAAACTCTTTTAAAACTTTTTTAAAAACTATTTTTTTTTAAATCTTGAAAATCTTGAAAATCTTGAAAATCTTTAGTGCCATTACATTTATAACAAGTAGCCTTATCTAATGCTTGTTGTTTTATGATTAACTCTATTGATAAATTCAAACTGTGCCGCGAATAAATTTGGACGTGTTTAAGAATTTACTCATATAGTAAATTCAAAGGTGGAACTCATGTTGCGAAATGTTGTCCTAGAGCCAACGGCGCAGAGCGCCGTTCCGGGCGTAAGCCTGGATCGAGGGTACTAATTCCGTCCGGCTATTTACACCCGGGGAAACGAAAGCATTAGCGAAGTGTAAAGTTCATCAATGATTGCGGGCGTGACCGTCGGTGTTGAGTGGGTGGTCATCCTCACTGATCTCAAAATATGTGGCGGACTGTCATGAATAGCGAGCACTGATTGGTCAAATTTAAAATTTGTTGTTGTATGACAAATGACGACAGCGAAATAACAAACATTTCTTGCAAATCAGCAAATATATTGTGTTTTTGCCTCGGTTTTTGGAAGATTTTGCAAATTTCAAAACCTTTTTGAGAGCTAAAAACCATCTGAAAACGTCTAAAAGAATGGAGCAAAGTCGCCGGCGTTAATGAAGGTAAGCATGTTTTTAATTTGATGTATTGTTTGCTTTTAGTTTTAAGAACATTTTAAAACGTTTTGCGAAGTGTTTGTGGTTGAATTTTACATTAAATTGAAGCTGATGTTACGTATAATAACATGCCTAGCATATATATGTTTAGGAAATTGATCATTTTATATCAAAAGCTGAAATAAATTATCAGAATGAGATTATTGAAGATTTGAAAGCATCAAAAGTGTATTTATTGCGATTTTTCTATTGTAAGCTAACTTCGTTGTCTGCCATTTGTAAGCTACGCTACTGTCCACTGACGTCACGAAGGTGTTGCCATGGCTAACATGACGCAACAACGCGAGCCTGCGTTCAGTAATGGCGTAATTAAGTATGCTTTATGTTAAAACAATTTTTTGAAAATAAAAGCAAGGGGTTGTGGCATGGATATATCCAGATATAATCAACACAATTTAATTTGCTGGACAAAACAGCTCGCTCACTTTCGTCGACTGGCAACAACGTTTTTTATAAAAACAACATTAAGAGTCGCAACCACGTTTATTTTAAATTAACACCTTAATTTTCTAATTTGAGCCTTAATTTATAATACAAACATCAGAGCAAAGCAAGACAAAAGCGCACGAAAATAGCTAAGTGCAAGTTATTGTCAGATTGTTGGCCTGTAGGGGCTGTTTATACGGTCCCGCTTACATGGGATTCACTAATGAAGTGTGAAATATTTTGAGTAATTGAAATAAGTCGCACTTCACGATCTAACAAAATTGCTTGTTACGAATTGTACGAAATTCCGTGTTTTAGATAAGAAACAAATGTTATTAATTGAATGCTATTAATCGTCTTCTTCCACTATAAACAATATTTAAAGTTATCTAACTTTTGTTTAGCGCTGAAAAAGTACTTCCGAAGCTAAGTGCTCAAAATACTTCACACGTCATTGAATCCGGGTAAGGAGGACCATATCAACAGCCCCACTTTCAACCGAAAGATATGGCAAATGTTCGATAATAAAAAGTTCGGAAGTTAACTCCGTATAAGGACTGTAATTTGTCAGACAAAAAGCCTTATGGTAATGTGTTGATGAAGTGTTTATATTGGTTTCCATGTAAACGATTTTGGAAGTCTTACAATATATATCGAAACATTACCGACAAAAGACCTATGGCCGCTTAATCACACTAATTTAATTTTGATTACAACTGCAGCTATTTGAACTAGCTTGAATTTTGTAAAGTTTGTAAAGCGAAAGGGGAACAACTCTTTTCGCTTTTACTTTAGCTAATAAGAAATGGTTACAACTCTGCATGAAACTGTCAATCATCTAGAATGGAGCATAAAATGTCTTGAACAAAGATTGGTCCCAATGCATCATTCTTAGCGTATACAATTTCTCATGTTAACTGGACTAGATTTTCTTTGGTAAAAATAAAACTGATATTTAGTTGTTGTGAACAGAATCGTCAAAATTAATTTTTTTGGCAAATTATATTACTCCACAGCACTTGACAAATCTGCCGCTGTTTGCATGCCAATATTAGTGAAAAAATGAAAACACACAGCAGCTGCACTGTCTAAAAACGTGCAAAAAAAAAACATTTTGAGAGTTTCTTTTTCCTGCTGCACTATACTTTTAGCGAAAACGTTTTACCAAACTAGAAGTCTTTTAACTCGCGCTACATTTTTTGATAAAATTTAATGTTTCAAACAATAGTCTCCAAAATGCTGCAACTAATATAAGCATTGTATATGCATAAGGTGACATTAAAAATTATGTCTATGCGGAGTGAGGGTATAACAGTCTATCATAAATGCACGAAAAAAACCCCAAGAAAATGTATATTGTATTTTTGTACGTAATGTAAGCTTCAAATAGTGTGATTGTGGGCGCAAATGAATTCTGTAAGGGAAATGAAATTTTTGAGACAAAAAGCCTTATGCTAAATTGTTTAGGTTGGTTTCCATGTAAACCAGTGGCGAGGCCATGCAGCCCGACAATTTGGTCCTGCTATGCAATAATGCGATATTTGAATCATTACCATGCATCATTCATTTCTTAAGAAATTGATTATTTCACGGTCTATGAACACGGAAATATTTGCATAGCGTGACCAAATTGTTGGGCTGGCTTCGCCACTGATGTAAACGATATTTTGGATCCTGAGAATTCATATTCAAAATTTAAGGAAAATAGACCTATAGACCCTTAATTACACTAAGGCCCCGTTTACATGAGACCGGGATGAAGTCAAACCGGAACCATTTCGTTTCGGTCATAGTATTATCTATAATGAATGTTTACATGAGACCGGGACGAAAATAACTCGGACCGGTCTCAAGTCATTCCGCCTGCTGAACCGAACCGACTGACTTCAGACCGGCATGAATTCAGACCGGGATGGATGTAAACATAAATACATTTCAGACCGGTCTCGGCTGTAACCTTGACATTGGAACAACACATGCTAACAAAAGCCATCTGAAAAAGGAAATTGCCTGGCAAAGGAAATAAATTGAAAATTTGTGATTTTCGTACCGGTCTCATGTAAACATGTTGACAATTTCAATTTTCATTCCGGTTTGACTTCATCCCGGTCTCATGTAAACGGGGCCTAAATTAACATTGTTTAGAAATGCAGATATTTGACCTAGCTCAATTCCGCAGCATTTTACCAATATTAGTGACAATTAAGTAAAAACAAAACAACAGCTGCACTGTCCAAAACGTGCAATAAAACATTTTAGAGTGTTGCACTTTTCCCTGCTGTACTACTATAAACCAAAACGTTTCATCATGGTTAAAGTCTTGTCGTTAAATTAAATGCTAAATCAACTCGTACTTCCATTATTGACTTATTTATAAGATGCTTTTTTAAAAAAAATTTTTTCAAAAAAATGTCTCCAAAATTCTTCAACTAATATAAGCACTATATACATCAGCCATTATAGGCGACAAATTAAAATTCTGTCTATAAGGAGCAAGGTTATAACAGTCTATTTTTGTGTATATTGTATTTCAGTAATGTCAGGATCAAATAGATATGATTAATTGTGTTCTTAGTACTTTAAAAATGACATGCATATTACAAACACCTGTGGTGGCCTATTATAAACCAGTAATTTAATTGCTATAGTACTTTAAAAATGACATGCTTATTACAAACCTCTGTGGTAGCCTATTATAAGCCAATTGTAACGCATTATTGCTCACGAACGCGTCGTATGAGGTACGGTCATATTATATTTATCCCGTACGAAACAAACGCAGTTGAAAGTTGACGTTCGTCGCTTCAATATGAATTTCTTTCGCATCATGAAGATTTCTGTGGCAATATTTTTCGTGTTTCAGGTGTTGGATGACTTCGCAACTGGACAGCTTAACACTATGATTCCGATGGGCCAATCTGAGACGTTCCCTATCATACATGCCCGTAAGTCCATCTGCTTTTTATACATTTGTTTTAAATACTACCGCGAGTCTCTTTAATTTGCTTAATTTAAAAAAAATTGAACTTTTACAGAGGATTTACAATATGGTTTTGCACAAATTACAACATTCTTTTTGCGGGTCAAATTTTAGTAAAACGACCCGCGGTTAATATTTCCGTAAGCTTCTCATTGAAACATCCCCCAGCCACCTTCTTGAAATTATATACAAACGGCACATATACAATTTCTATGCCTCGCTGAAAAATTATATATATATGTTATTTACTGGCTGCGACTCGGTCTGTACTGAAAAAAATATTTTCCCGAGGTCTTATAAGCGGTCCGAGGCCGATGGCCGAGGGAAAATATGTTTCAGTACAAACCGACCTAAACGGTAAATAACGTGATTATTTTTTTATTTGATGGTTCATGGTCATAATGAATTCCGATGAAAATCCAGTTGCGAAATACATTTGAGATCAGTTACGTTTGTTACTTTAGTGCAAGTTGAAAATCGGTCATTTAAGGTTTTTGTTTTTAAATTTTATGTTTAAGGAAAAGTTGTGCGTTGTAATATTTATATTTATATTTATAAGTATATTTTCGAAGAGTAACTGAATATAGCCTATATGTTTTATATACAGTCGTAGAATTTTTCTTGCGTCTGCTCTCTTATAAGAGCTCAAAAGACGGCAAAATAATGCTCTCTTAGCTCAAAAGATGGCAAATTCTCTCTTCTCAGATACTTTGAGAGACAATGAGAACTAATTTTTAAAGTTTCTATCGATTTCTACCTTCCTATATATTAGATACTTTTAATCGTTAAAGGATTGGAAAAGATTCGAAACCGTTTTAAGATTTAAGATTTTTCGACTTTTGATTTGAGAGAGTATAAATAAGTATTGAATTTTTTCTGAAGAGTGCAGGGGGTATAAGCGCTTTTAAATTTTTAAGGAAGCTTAAATGTGGGCCATGTCGATGCAAAGGCAAATGCCAAAGAATGAATTATGACAAATCTATAGAATATGGTATGGATTTGTCTCATCTTAGCATACAACCCAGTTCAAAAATATTTCAGAAAATGTTATGTTAAAGACATAGCGGCAAGCGTTTCACGAAAAGCTGGGGTTTTTTTCAAGCGTGCTGGCGGAAACTCAGTCATTTACTCAAGTTATTTTCGGCGTTTGTATATATGTTAATATGTAAACAATTGAAATTTTGCAATTATTTTCTCGGCTCTATAATCTATAATGATTTCCAAACGACAGACTTTCCCTGTCAACTTCTTGCATACCTATAAGCTATCTCTATATAGTATACTATTTGAAAACAATTATAGCAAGTAAAAAGTTCGGCCGCGCGCTTGACGCCTCAAAATTTGACATGTCGACGAATCTCCAGCAAACCCAAGGCTGAAACCAGACCTTATGAATTTCACTCCGGCTACGTCGAAAATACGATGCTATAAAATTTAATTGGATTTCGCCGTTTGACCAAGAAGAAATTTTATCTCGACATTATAATGGGGCTGCAACTATAAACTCCTAAACTATTATATTAAACCACCTGCCAATTTCTAGTGCGCTCGGCCATGTCGATGCAACGACAACGGTCAAAAAAGTAATTAAAGGCATTGAATATGGTATTGATTTGTATTATATTAACCTACAACCAGTTCAAAACACTTTCAGAAACTGTTAAGCTTAATGGCCCATACAGACCGAACGCGATTCGACAACGCAGCGCGTATATTTTCGATTTTCACCGACCGATAACTTTGATCCTGGTTTAAGTTTTTCAAGTATTTAGAAGCGCTATCACATTTTAAGTTAGTTGGTCTACATATATTTTAAAAGTTCTTTTTATTGGCTCTTTTATTAACTTTCAAAAACTGAAAAATCGGCGGGAAAGTACTCTAGCTCACTCACTTGTGTGTAGAGAAATGAAGTTTTGTAACTATTTTCGCCGCATAGTCTGATGATTTCGAAATGACATGCTTCGCTTATCAACTGCTTGCATGTTTAATTGAGTTCTCCCAATTCTATTTGAAAAACAACTGTTATATACAAAGTTTCAATTTGAATTTATGACTATATGAATTTCAGTCCGGCTAGGTCGAACTTTTAAAACTCATCCGCGCAGAAAATTGTCCTACATGTGCACGTTGCAATTTAATTTAAAGGACTTTATCGTTTGGCAAAGATGAAATTTCACTACAAGGATATAATGGGGCGGAAACTTAATCGCTAACAGTCATTTAAATCCACAGGTTAATTTCCATTGCACGCGCGCGTGGCTACAAAACTTAGGCGAAAACTCCTGCAAATATTTAGCTTGACTACAATGGTCAGGAGTGATAGGTCGAGTATTCAAGGTATATGATATTAACGAAGAACGAAGACATTCACAGCTATTACACAAGAAGAAAAAACGACCTCCACCTCCCAAAGACGAACACACACAAGGGAAAACAAAGACCAAGCTCCCAAGCATCAAAAGATTTTAACAAACTAGAACCGGACATTAGAAACGCTAACTCGTTATCCAAGTTTAAAGCTCTATTAAAAAACGCTGTGTAGGCGAGAATTACATAGTAAACATAGTCTTAGTAGCACTGACCATTGGAAATACGTGGATGACGTAACAATATCGGAGTCCTTAAAGAAAAATGAACTTTCAGTCCTACAATCTGATCTTAACACAATTGAAAGATGGACTGTTAATAACAACATAAATTGAACGGAAAGAAATGCAAAGAAATGATAGTGAGTTTCGTCCGTAGCGAGAATGACATCCCCCGACTCCTCATTGATGGTTTACCTCTAGACTTGGTTCCTTCTTTCAAAATTTTGGGCTTAATCATGAACTATAAATTGAAATGGCAAGATAACACTGAAGCGTTAGTTAAAAAAGCCTCAAAACGCTTATACGTTATTCGTGTCCCACAGCGCTGTGGTCTTCCCCCCAATGACCTCTTATTAGTCTACTTTTCTATGGTGCGCTCTATCTTAGAATATGCCTGTCCTGTCTGGCACACCATGTTACCAAAGTGTTTGGGGGATAAAATTGAAAAAGTTCAAAAAAGAGCTTTCTGTATTATCTATCCGACAACAGATTACGAAGATGCTCTCAACATCGCTAAATGCAAGCGTCTTGACGACAGACGTCAAGAGCTATGTGCTAAAACTTTCAAAAAGATCTTAAAACCAGATGCTCACCTCAACCACCTTTTACCCCCACTCCGTGAAGAATCGCATGAACTGGACTTAAAAAACAATTCTAACTTCACATTAACTAAATGCAGAACGGAACGTTTTAAAACAAGTTTTATACCAGCAATGACTGCTAATTTTAATAGTAAATAATTTGTAGTATTTTAACAATTGTACATGTACGATATATCTATATTTATATTATTTGATATTCATCCTTTATTATGTTTCTGTAAGCATATTGCTATTCAACTTCGGGTGCCAAAATGTGTTTCTTAATAAACCTTTAATAATAACACAGTCACGGAGCTTTTATCTTTTAAAGGCAGCTCCTGAACCACATGCATGCAGTTGTTTAACGTATTCTGCCGTATAGCAAATCAGTATAAACTGCAAAATTATAACAGTTGAGCATGTTTTGAAATGTTATTCTTAAAATCATCATCCAACCTCATAGCTGCAATGCCAAAGGATGCAGCCTCAACTATCTGGTCTTGAATTATACTTTAAAGTGAACAAATAGCAAGACAACTATAAGGAAATTTATATTCGATCCCTGCCGCTCGGGCAAGCTTTGATTGGCAGATTTTCCGTATTCCGTAGGAAGAATCGCGATAACCGGCGTCTTCACCACGTAGCAAATTAATAATAGACTTTCTCGATTCTGGTTTCAACTGAATTTCGAAGCCTAAATACTTGAAATATGAAAGTTCCCTCGAAAAGCCGTAGCAGGCGGCATATTTTCGATATATACGCGAGCAAAATTATTTTTGACATTTGAGTTACGTAATTACTTCCATTAACGAGATTGACCAATGGGAAACTTTTCCGAAGATTCTTCGGAGAAGAACAGATTAATCACAGGCATTTGGGCAGCTGTTTATTTAACGACGCCCTCTCTTCTCCCGCCCGCACTAAACAGGTAGGGTAGCTCGATAACTTCGTACTTTTCGGGTAGCTCGATAACTTCGTACTCTTCGTACTTAGGCATGCAGGTGAATTCCTAAGGTCTCCTTTTTCACGTGATATTTTAGCTTAATTAGACTCAAATGAGAGTCAATAAAGAGTCAATAAAGTCAACCAAAAGAGCTGGGAACAAAATGTCTGTCAACGCATCTTATGTAGCTAAATGAGTTATCCGACAATTATAAAGCCAACATAAAACAATCTAGACAACATAAAAGCCCTCATTCAGCCTTGCCACGGAACCTTGCCCCCCCCCCCTCCCCCACGTGACGTTATATGAAACCACAGAATTAATAAATTAATATATTTTAGATGTGACTAGTTTAAAAACAAACATCATCGCTCAATTGAGAGAACCAACGTACGAGGTTTGCGGCTTTAATTGCGCAGAACACCGTTTCTGTGTTGCATTCAACTACAAGGAGAAGTCTGAGGGAGATGAATGGAACTGCCAGTTAACAAATACGACTCAACATAAATTTGACAATAATGCCAGCAAAAAAGAGCGAGTTTGGACGCTCATCAAAGATAATGTAGACCGAAGTCAGGTGGTAAGCAAATACATAATACTTTTTACAAAATTTGGGGACAAAGGGTATAACTTCTCATTAAGGTATACGGCAATATATTTTTTTATTATTTCATTTGGAAGAACTTTTAAAATTATATGTTAATCTCTTTTACTAATTTTGCGTAACTTTATTATTTCTTGAGATATTTGAACAGAAAAAACACAAATCAGCGAGCTTTCCGCCATCTTGGATTTTGGCGGATATGCATGTGACATCATAAGCAGGGTTACGCAATAATTTTATCCATAGAGCAATTGATTATTATGAGCCCAAAATCATATACTTCTGTAACTATTTGAAATAAAAACTGTCTGACGACTTTTCAAACAAGACAATGTTATTTGGTCATTTAGATGTAGTTTTATATGGCTAACCCCGCTTATGACGTCACTAGAATCACCGATAATGAGATCAAAATTAATCAAAGATGGCGGAAAGCAAATTATTTATTATTATTATTACCCTGTCAACTTTCCCTGTGGGAGGAAACACGGAGTACCCGGAGAAAACCCACGACTTTCGGCAGAGCGTTGACTTTACTCTTTTCACATTAGGACTGGGTTCCAGTCACAATGAGAAGTCTTCACTGAGATTCGAACCCGCGGCCTTAGAGGTGAAAGGCAAGTGCGCTAACCACTTCGCCACCGAAGCAAAAAAATTTCAAGTCAAAATATTTCAAGAAATAATAAAGTTACGCAAAATCGGTAAAGGAGATTGAGATATAATTTTAAAACTTCTTTAAAATGAAATAATATATATATATATATATATATATATATATTGCCGTATCTCTTTAATACCAGAATCGCTCTACATTGTTTTTCATGGGTGCAGGAACCGGGGGAGGGGAGAGGGAAAATTGTGAAAAGGGGGGCATAAGCCCCCCCCATTTTAAGTTTAACCCAAGTTTAACCTACCTCCCCTCCCCCCACTTCCCACCTCGACGCCAATATCTGAGGGAAAATATAACGATAAAGAAAAATTTATCCGTTGGACAATTTCATGAACGTCCAGAAACTTTATAGGACTAGCCTACCCCCCCCCCCCATGTCAAATAAAAACTGTTCCGTTTTAAAATATTTTTATTCTTGGAATTGTTTAAAAAATGTGTACAGGACAACGTTCCCAAATATGGTAATTCAACTATCTCAGGTATATACATATCTAACCCTTAATTTGATCGTTCTAAGGTATTTTCGGTAAAAGGTCTGGTAAATTCTTTGATAAGAATTTCTTAGCAAATCTACATAGCCCTTTTTTCAAAGTTGGACATGACGAGGTTTTGAACATGCGGTTTTATTAAAGTGGCACTGTTATCAAAATTTTTATTTCCTTAAACGAGAATGCTCTTAAAACTGTATAGTAACTTGTTTTGAAGATTTTTGTTCCCATGCTTAGTTCTTGAGATATTTCATTTTGTTTGTAACCATGTGACGTCATTTACTCAATTACATATATAATGAGATATCAGTAATTGTTGTGTATCTTTGCTATTTTTGATGGATTTGTTTAAAAAAAACAGTATGCTTAATGATGTAGGTTAAATTAGCAGACGCGCCGCATCTTTCGAAAGATTTTGATAAAAAATAGCAAAAATACACAACAATTACTGATATCTCATTATATATGTAATTGAGTAAATGACGTCACATGGTTACAAACAAAATGAAATATCTCAAGAACTAAGCATGGGAACAAAAATCTTCAAAACAAGTTGCTATACAGTTTTAAGAGCAGTTTCGTTTAAAGAAATAAAAATTTTGATGACAGTGCCACTTTAACATTTTTTACATATTTACATAAAACTGTCGTGTTTTGAATTATATGCGCGTTGCTTGGCGAAAATGCAAAGCAGACAAATAACAATAGGGGAATATTGGCGTTCGACATTCAACTAAAAGGGAATTTAGTCATAGATATCTTATATACACCAGATAGCGCATCTCTTTTAGTAAAATTGAAGCCAAGAATATTCCAGCGGTTACCCATTTGAATAGATGGCGGCCATGTTGGTCGTTCCCACTCGCTAACAAACGCTTAAAAACAATAATAACTTTCATCATTTGAATACTTTAAAAATGTATTTGGAATAGGGTTAATCTAATATTCAAGTTCCCTGTATAAGAAATAGGAAATATACGAATCTTCTCTCATTTCATGGGAACGACCTGAGACTGCAATCACGGCTTCAATTTTTGCCATTGCAAAATAATTAGATGCACTATCTAGTGTATATAAGATATCTATGGAATTAGTATACTCAAATTTTTGTTTAAATTTCAACAAAATAAAACTTGTTTGGTATTTAAGATTTGTTATGCAGTCTCTAGAATAGATACCAGCATGTTTGCATGTGATCAACTATTTTGCAGGCATCGTGCAGAGGAGAAGTGAATGAATGTCACAATGGTGGAACAATGATCTGGGATCCAGAGAAACCTTTCAACTGTCTATGTAAGAAGGGGTACGAAGGAGAGATCTGTGAAAATGGTAATAATAACATTAATTAATATGAAGGCATGCATATGGGAATTGAAGGTATACCTTTACGCCTGTATTCTAAAAGCTCATCCACACTCAAAGAGTGGAGGTTCAATCTGAGCTTTCCTTGAGTGTCATTGCTGTTTTTGAATAGCTGGAGAGTTAGTGTCGTACCTTACTATGGGACCATTCACCCTCTAGCTATTCAAAGCTATTCAAGGGAAGCTCAGATTGAACCTTAGAATACAGGCGTTAGTCCCTCATTAGAACGAAGTCACCGTTCAATCGTAACCAAGTCTTTGTAACCAATCGATAATTTGTCCGGATCTCCAAGTGACCGTCAAGCTTGTAGGCATCACACGTCGCTTTTCTGTTCGAATCATAGGAAATTTTGACCTTGATGTAATTGATAGAACGAGAAACACTCTGCTTTCCACATAATGTTAACTAATAGCCGAAATAATCTGAGCACACGAATATAGATAACCACTCCCAAATGCGAACAGCATTTCAATATATTGTCATGGACTCATGGTATACATTGCATAGTGTATATTTCCGACCATACCGCGTCTTCAAACTTAATGCCAACTTTCAAAACCCCTCTAATTTGCTTGATGATTTTATCCGAAATACGCACTTTACGTACTAAGATGATTTTATCCGAAATACGCACTTTGCCACTTTACGTGCTTGATGATTTTATCCGAAATACGCACTTTACGTACTAAGTGAACGTTTATCTTTCAAAGTAAAGTTACCTCATATATTCTTGTTTGTTGCGGTTAGGCCTTTGTTACCTCTAGTAACACTCTTGTTTTGTTATTCCAATCCGTCATTTACGAACCTCTCTTAGCCGGTTTGTCAATATAGCATATTTGTTCCTTTTGTTTAATCTTACAAGAAATTGATAGATGTGCCGATGAATCGACTAACGAATGTGATATTCACGCAAACTGCACCAACACTCCAGATTCATACAAGTGTCAGTGCCACATTGGTTGGAAGGGAAATGGAAAAAATTGTTCAGGTAATTTTTAACCTGCATAAAGTTCAGGTATAAAGTTTTCCATAAAACAATTTCTTTAGTCCGTCATAATCAACACGAAATAAAATTTTCATAGTGGCATTAACCTGCCTTTAATAACTTCCAAAACTAACAAAGCGTTACAGATACGTATTATAGTGACTTTTATTAACTTATTAACCGAGCGCAAGATCTTTACAGAGAAATATCGGACCGAGGTATTTTTTGTATACAGACCGAACCCGTAAGGCGAGGTTTGTACAAAAATACCCAGGTCCGATATTTCTGTGTTAATAAAGTTAATAAGTTAATAAAAAGTTTATTATATGGCATTTATAGGAGTTTATACTTGAAACAAACAAGACATGCATGTATTACGGGAACCACTGAGTATTTTGATAAAATACAAAACAAAACAAAAATTGCCAATGTATTCCTTCCTTTCCACTAAAACTTTAATAAATAAAAATAAATAAATAAAAACCATTCGCAGATATCTTATTAATAACAAATTGTATTATAATTTTCAAATTTTCAATTCGTTTGGCTGTTTTGTTTCTAAATGCAGGCGTGTGTTATTACGTAATGGACAAATAATGACCGCTAAAAGTGCTTCTCACCCAATCACAGTCTGCCATTTCACCGGACGTGATGGTTTGCCATATAGTGGTACCTCTTATTACTGGAAACTAAAACACTCGTAGAACTCATACGTCACTACATCCGGGGCCAGGTGCGCGTATTTTCCGTATTTCACTCCTGCGAGTGACATACGAAGTTCTGAAAATTTCCCGCCATTTTCACTGTTGTTGCTTTAAAAATACAAATGGTCTTTGGTTCGTATTTAAAACGAAATTAAGGTTGGAAATAAAACGAAAACATTTAAAAGACATGTTTGAGATAAGTAAAATTTATTCTAGTTTTATGTTTGCCGTATAATTTAAAAAATATCGCTTTTATACTGGTCTGTCGCGTGCTTATTTACATGTCGTCTTTGTGTGTATTGATGTCACTCAGAGTAAGTCCATATAATAAACAGAACATTAAACGGTTGCGAGAAGATATGGATTTATGTTCTCGTGTCAAAAAGATAGCTTAAGATCTACGACGTCGACGTCAGCTAGGACGTCAGGGCCAAGCAGAGGACTGGAACTACATTAGGACGACATCCTAGTCCCAGTCCTCTGCATAGCTCTGACGTCCTAGCTGACGTCGACGTCGTAGATTTTAAGCTATCTATTGTTTTTGCCACTCGAACGTAAAATTCATATCTCTTCGCAACCGTCTAATATCCTATATTTATTACACAATTGACGCGGTTTTCTTTGTTATTCATAAACCTTTGTTTTCCTTTGTTTTTCTTGCAAGTATCCTAAAGCTTTAGTGGGGCTGAATGATGTATGGTTACTAATTAATATACCTATTCAAGTAGCAGTAGTAGTAGTAGTAGAACTTTATTTATCCACGCTGACCCCGTCAACCGTAGCTGATTTCCACGGGGGCGTGTGCCAGAAAATTATTTTACATGCAGAATATGATAAGGATAAGCTATTACAGTAATATATGAATTTAAAAGATATAACAAATGTTTTGAGCTATTTACAGGTAAGTTATATTTACAAAGGTTACCAAGCACTAATGTGAGCAGCGATTTTATTTCGAAAGGAAGAAAGTGACGTGCTTTCCCTAATTTCTTTTGGTATAGAATTCCAAATGTTTGCTCCGTCGTACATAAAACTATTTTTCATGCTATTTGTACGTGGTTTTGGTAAATAAAGACCATTTGAGACATCCCGAAGGTGGTAATTAGTTTTCTCACTCTTAAACGAAAATAGATTTGTGAGTGATTTTGGGCCCATTTTGTTTAATAACTTATACATCATTCTTGCTTTAGTTTTCTTCCTTTCAGTTTGGAGTGGCTCCCAGCCCAAAGTACCTAACCCAATCGTATAATCTACGTCATTGTTTATGTTCAGAATAATTCTTGCGGCTCTATTTTGCAGTTTTTGCAGTCGTTTTGATTGAGTTTCGCCAAATACATCCCATACTTCACAGCAGTCAAAGTACGGACGAACAATAGTGTTATATATCAAAATAAGTGTAACTTGCTCAACAAATGGTTTGGTCCGACGAATAGCAGAGATTCCTGCTGTAACTTTTTTGCAGATATTTTCGGTATTACTTTTCCAAGATAAATGCTGGTCAATTGTTACTCCTAGAGTTTTGCATTCATGAACTTGTTTAATTTGTATATTTTCAATGTAAACATTTGGGCAAGAGTCAGAAATATTTTTGATCATAGGTTTAGAGCCAATCAACATAAACTCTGTCTTAGCTACATTGAGGCTAAGTTTATTGGCTATTAACCATTTTCTAAGGTTCTCTAAATCACAATTTACTGCAGTCTCTAGGTCAGTCATAGAATTTGCTGAAGCAGTCAAATTTGTGTCATCAGCAAACAACCGCGGTTTTGTTTTGTTTAGACAATGTGGCAAATCATTGATGTACAACAAAAAGAATAATGGCCCTAATATAGAGCCTTGTGGTACACCACATTTAATCAAGAGCTCAGATGAAAATGAGTTTTTTATTTGGCACTTCTGGTTTCTGTTTGTGAGATAGGATTTGAGCAAAGTTAGAGCTTGTTCTTTTATTCCATAGAGCTCTAATTTGTTCAGCAGAATTTGATGATCAACAGTATCAAAGGCTTTCTTCAAATCAATTAAAACTACTAGGTTAAACATTATTCTGTCTAGATTTACATACCAATCATTAGTACAGTCTAGTAGTGCACTAGCTGTAGAGTGAAATTTTCGAAATCCAAATTGAGAATCACTGAGAAGCTCAAATTTTGTTAAATAGTTATACAGTTGATCATACAATATCCGTTCCATAATTTTACTGATGGCCGGTAAAACTGATATTGGTCTGTAGTTTCCAGGAATACTACGCTGGCCATTTTTATATAGGGGCATCACTCTAGCAACCTTCCATTCATCAGGAAAAGAAGATAAAGTAATAGCCTGTTTGAAAATAAGTGTCAGTGAATCTGAGATAACAGATGCAGCTAATTTAATAATTTTGGAAGAGATTTTATCGATGCCAGTGGCTTTATTCTTGGAAAGTCCATGCAAAAGATGAGAGACATGACTGACAGTAACAGGTTGGAAAGCCGCAAATTCTGATTGAGCGTTTTTGACATAGGTTTCAAAATTGGAATTTGAATAATCTATTTTTCTAGCTAGATCTGGGCCAATATTTGAAAAATATTCATTAAAGCCCTCCGCAATATCTTCAGGACTTGTCAAGTTTTGTTCACCAACATTTAGTTCATTTACCACTGTTGGTTTGTTTTGCCTACCTAACAAGTTGTTTATACTTTTCCAAGCTTTTTTGGAATTAATTTTTTGACCAGCTATTTTTGAGGAATAATAATCTTTTTTGGCACTTCTTAGTTCAATATTTACTTTGTTTCTAGCTGTTTTAAAGTTTAACCAATCATTCTCATGGTTTGTCGAAATGGCTTTTCGTTTAAACTTGTCCCTTGTATTCATAAGTTTCTATATATCACTTGTAATCCAAGGGACTTTTTTAGATCTTATCTTCTTTTGCTGAAGTGGTGCATGTTTATCTAGGACTTCAAGAAATAAATTTTTCCAAATTTCCCACATGGCATTTGGATCATCAGCAAAGAAATACACATATTCCCAGTGTTGTTTTAGCAGTTCTTCAATAAATTTTCCTTCATCAAAATTTTTCATGTTTCTAATTTCAAGAGTATTTTCTTGTTTTGTAACAATAGAAATTTTCCTGATTGCAAATACTAAGCTATGATCACTAATACCTGTGTGAATGACACCAGAATCAGAGATTTTCTCTGGCATATTAGTAACAATATGATCAATAAGACTGGTGGTTGTTGGAGTTATTCGAGTAGCTTCATCTATCAGTTGTGTTAATTGGTATAATTCATATAGTGATTTTATTTTCTTTGTTGGAATATTTGAATCGTTATTTGTTTTTAGCATATTACAGTTCAGATCACCCAGGATAGTACAGTATTCAAGTACAATATTTGTCTACTGAGCTCCAGTGCAATATATGTATATTGAATTTCAATCCCCTCTTTAAACTTTAAGAAGACATACCACGCTTTGGCACTTACTAGCAATCACACCGGCTTGGATTTGGAAAAGCTACATTTATACATTACACCTTATAGTGAGTCGACAGTTACTATACGACAACTATGAATTATATGTTATAGTTAATTATCTCGTGAAATGTTATACTGTAGATTTCACCGTGTTTAAATAAAGTTTTGATTGATTGATTTGAAGTTAACCAAGCGGATACGTAAAACGCGTACTGTTAAAAAGCTACACAATCGGAAACGATAACAAAAAATATGGCAATGTTAAAAAGCTACATAACCACATGTTTAAATGGCACAAAGTGAAAGTTTACAAATTACATATTTAACGATTGTCATCACCTTTATCAGAATCTACACATTTTTGGCCAGGACTCACGTAAAATGCATCTTTGATTATAACTTCGCGCTACTGCATTTTCCCACATATTTCCTATCAACACGAACCAAACAACGAAACGGGCAAATCTTCATTTGTGAAATGGGTTCAACACGTTAAACCTGATAAAACTTTGTCCTCAGTGCAAATGCAGTCAACCGATCTAAAACAAAGGCAAACTTCACATATGACATGAATAAATTAAGAAAGATAATTTGTTAAATGACTACTTTGCCTTTACATGTGTCGCTTTTCATATTCAAATATGTACGTTTCAAACAATCCCAACAGTGTTAAAAACAATTCCCATGCTACTAGTGTGGCGGATATGTGCATGGATGTTTCCGAAGAGGGTTAAAAGCACCAAATTGTGCACAGTAGCATCTTTTTATGAGTAGAACAACATGCAAAAGTGGGGCCATCGTGAAACTGTTTTTTTAAAGAGTTACGATGCTATTAGCATTATTTGCTATTAAATTCTGCTACAACAAAAAATGTGAAATTTTGAATTCAATCGCGACAAATATAACTTGCATCACCAGAAAGCTTGTAAAAAACTACATAAAAGACTTTTAAACAGTTTTTTATTCTTCAAATGGTTATTGCTGTAAATTAGGCACATTATCTCGCTAAAAGTCCCTAATTAATTATTCGATGTTTGAAAGTTTATAATTCGAAAACTATTTCAGAAATCAAAAAACTGTGTAAACGTCTTATATGCAGTTTTTTATACGCTTTCTGATGATGCAAGTCATATTTGTTGTAATTGGCTATAATAGAATTCAATAGAAGAAAATCACTAATCACCCGTTTTCAGGAGTTAGCAGCAAAATTGCGATGGCCCCACTTCAAATATCTATTCAGCAAATAAAACTACATCAATTGCAAAAGTTTGATGCTTTTAACCTCAACGGGAACCACTGATCAATAATTTACACATATCCGCCTCACTATACTGAAGTTTTTCTGCAATTTTATTTCAATGCATGTGTACTGAAATGTACCGTCATAAAAAACTTCAAATCAACTATTGTTTGCTAACACCCCTTTTGTTAATTAATTATCGTTGCCATCATTTCCATGCAAAGCATTTTCTATATATTTTGTTCTTTTGAGAAAACGTTGTCCCTCATGTAATAAGTCAGTTACTTATACTTCGAACCTCGGCATTTACCCAAATACGTTCTTCGTGCTTAGCCATGGGGATGTATTTGGCTAAATGTTTCGGTTCTCGGTAATTAACTTTTACGGAAGGTATGGTATGATGTCGTATGGTGTGGTATGATATGGTATTTTTTGAAAAGTAATTGTTGCAGGGAAAATGTTGATAAATTAACGAAAATATTAATTGAAAAATTGTTCAAATTTCGGTGAGTTAGTGAAAAAAAATGTCCGAATTTTTGTCCTCCGTTCTCCGAAATGTCCGTCGGGCACGACTTCCGACACGGTCGGGCAAAACAAGCGCACACACACCATCCGTAATACCCAAGTTACGGTCTGACTAAGCATGGATAATAAAATAAATGGATAGGAAACTAGCTGACGTGATCTAATGTTTTCAATGGACTGATGGCGTGATTGGATGTTGAAACCTAGTTGCAAACCAAATTCTCAAAAACGGTATGTTTAGCAATAATACAGCTAAACATTTTAGTCAAAGAGCGAATGAATATAACTACGCCATTCTACGATGAAATCTCTAAGTATTCCCAGTAAATTTTTCAAGCACTAAACAGTGAAAAAGGCATCCCAAATTTCGTTAAAATTGGGGACGCCAATTTCGTAGATACAAATGTAAAAAAATACAAAACGAAGACGAAAAACATTTACCTTGAATACTTTGTCGTGGCTTAGGCATGTTTTTAAAACAATTAGACCGGTTTATGCTTAAATATTGCTCTTTTAAGGCGGAAAATATAGCGAAACAACAAAAATGCAGAGAACTTTGCAATACGCGTGACGTCACAGATTGCAACTAGGTTGTTTTTGCTTACGTCAGCGAGAGTCCTATCCATTTATTTTATTATCCATGGTCTAAGCAAGAACGTTTCCATGCCTTTTTCGCAGCTAGAGTTGAGTTAAATATCATTAATATAACAAGCAAACTACCTCAAGTGCTGAAACTTAATTGCAATTAGTTACGCAACTGTTTCCCAATTTCATGTGAATATTTTGAGGAATTCACGCGCTAATTAATTTTAATTTCATCTATTTTAAGTTCAAAATCATGCTACGATGGCATCGAAACGTAGCTGCTTAATTTAATACATTTAATAACTTTGATTAATTGTAAATTTTTAATGATTTAATTTTGTGTAGATTCATTTCTTGATTCAGTTATATTATCCGGAGAATTTAACGATCATCATTTATTAGAAACATGGATCGGAGGAAACTTTACTGCGAAACTGTGTTGGCGTGCAACTAGGGACGGATGGGCAGCCAGTACCTTCCATAGCAACTGTGACAACAAGAAACCGACAGTGACCATCGTTAAAGTTGGGCAATTTACATTTGGTGGATTTGCTACGGCTTCTTGGGAAGGTAAGACGAACACTTCAATGCATGTACGTTCATGATCATTCGGATAAACTAGACAGGTCGGTAAATCGCACAAAAATTGTCACAGATTTACAAACAATTTGCAACAATGTTGTTGTGATGCCAATTTCAGCTTGTGTTTACACTGCTTGTTCCCATTTATTGTAAAGTCTGGAAAAAGTTGTTATCGCCTTTTTATAAAGCTAATGACAGTATAACGGTCCTCCTGCAAGTTGTTTCAACAACACTAACACAGGCTGTTCGTCAATAAGTTGTTACGAGTGAGCTGTTGGAACAACTTGTTGCAAATCAGTTAGCTTTAGCAACTTTGTTACATGATGTTGGAACTTGTGGCAAACTTGTCTAGAAGTGGGGACAGGAAGTGCCAACACCTCTTGTTGACAAGCAGTGTTGCTGTATAGCTAGGGTGAACACCAAACGTGATTGGCTGATTTGTGATCACGTGACTTGAGATAAATGCAATGAATTCCGCCTGGCAATAGTAGAAAATTGTTGCCCGCAGTGTGACCAGATTTGGAAAAAGTTTTACTTTTGGTCAAGAAGATTTGGTAATGAGTTTTTTTTGGTAAAATTTTGGTAAAATCTGAAAGTTTTAATTTTTAATACTCATTTTGGTAAAATTGTGTGTTTCTTGTTTTATAATGTGCTCAAAGTGATGAACAGAACTACCATGCCAGCCAAGCCTCGTTCGCTGCGCTCCTCGTGACATATCATGCATGTTCAACACTCGAAATAAATCTGGTGTTTCCGCGCACCCATGCTTGTGTATTATTCTCCATATATAGCTTTATTTTTCGGCTTCGTCCGATATATCATTGTTACAACAACGTTACTCAGTTTCAACGTTATTAAATATACAGGGTTGTAGCGAAAGCTAGGGTATTTAGGGAGGGGGGGGGGGGCTGGGCGCTTCCCCCAACTTTTACAAACTTGTAATATTCGGAAAAGTTATAAGCCTACATGGAAATTCGGACCAGGGCCGTCGCAAAAATAACGGATTTATCGGCAAATTGTACGTTTTCGTAACCAGTGAAAATATTTCAGTTGCTCTGATTACAAAGTCACACTTTAATATAGTAAAAATTTTGATAAGTTTACGAAAGTATTACCGAAAAATTTTAATAAATGAGAATACAATAGTTTGGGGGTTGGTGTGAAATGATACGTCCGGAAATATTTTGAACTCCACCGCTCGCCAAAGATTTTGGGGAAAAATATTATTTAGCGACAGAAATGTTGTCGGAAAATGCGATATTACACACCACTAACCTTAGCCTCTTCGCTAAGTCCCTGTAAATATATTAAAACAATACATTTATGTTATAACAGGCGAGAGGGTCTGGAAAGAAGCTCCAGGGTCCTTCATTTTTTCATTGAGAAATAAAGAAAATCTCCCGCCATTTAAAGCTCCACTGAAAAATCAGAATGATGGACACGCACTCAGGGCCTATCCTACTGGGGGACCAATGTTTGGAGATGGTTACGACATCAGGATACGCGACAATGCTTCTTCGCACGCCGAATCAGACACATATCTCGACACTTCCTACCAACCTCCATCTGGCGTCAGCGAAGCCAGCACCATCTTGGCAGGCACCCACAAATTCACTCCGTCTCAAATTGAGGTATTTTATCTTGTGTAGAACTATCTCGATATATTCAATGAAACGAACATTGTTCTTTTTTAAACCAATCTTAAATTTAGCTTAGTTCACGAACACCAAATCTTGTCTTAAGCCTTGACCAAACGACATGCAAGTCATCGAAAGTTTTAAATTCTCAGGCATATAAAGAGGGGAATTGAATAACTAATTTGCTAAAGAAACACGGATTTCTTGGGTTTAAAAAAACAGATATCTTATAGCATAATTTGGGGTTAATCATTGAACTGATGTCAGTGAAAACAACAATGAAACAAAATAGCTGTTTCCGAATATTATAAAAGCTAATACAAAGCAATATAATTAATATAAAGCCCATCCTTTACCCTTCACACATGCAGACCTTCGCCACAGTGTGACGTCATATATGAGACCCGGGAATGCACGGAATGTCCTACAAAAATGTTAACATGTTTCTTTATAAAACGCAGCTAAATATGCATTTTTAAACCATTATGTATTTATAAAATTTACTTTCTAGATTCTTTGTGTTATTTAATCAAATTGTTCATTCCCTTTCACCCATTCTTCAAGAGCCAAAACTTGCGACGACTTGCGTCCCGTTTGATGGCTTTAGTTTGAGTAAATAACAGCCTAGTCCCAGTCGTTCTGAAGCAAGCGCGAGAAAAAACGTGGATGTGGTACAAGACTGGGACCTAGGTGTGACGTCACCGCTAAAGGTGCTTCAGAACGCCTAGCAGATTTCAGTATTTTTAATATGGCGGAAAATTTATATGTACAAATAACCTTGTAAATACGACAATGTTCGTTGATCATGTTCGATGTCTACATAACCATATTCAAACTGTATTAAAAATGTGCTCAATCAAAAAAATCTATACAAATTTACAATACTGATTGTGAGCAATGGTCGTATAATCGTTGATGTTATCTGTATACTCACGCAAGTTGTGATCAACACTAGACCATACTGGTATACACAACTACGCATTCTACTTGACAGGTTTAAGTAGCTGAGGAGATTGGAAATATTTGCCTGACATGGCTGTGTTGTCAAAACATTTTTAGTCGGAGACTCGCCATAATTTTCAAGCTTCTACAGTAGATAGCATTTAATATGGCTTTATATTTTAGTAAACACGAGTCATATTTAGCCCGTTATTCCATGTTACGACAGCATTAGAACAAAACTAATGACTTATAATTATAAACGCAAAGGAAATTTCCATAACATTTTCTATTTACAAATGCGGTATGCTTGGTAACCAGGCCAGGGACCACTTTTTTGAAATCAGGGACCATTTTACCGAAATCTGCTAGGCTCTCTCGCTGAAGCGTTCTGCACAGCAACCCAGGCATAAAACTTTTAAGACTTATTTAAATACATCAAAGCAGCGATTAGAGAGAGAGAGAGAGCCTGGGACTAGGCTGAGTAAATAATATTTAATCGCTCTGCACGTTCCATTCATTGTTTTGATCATTTCGATGAAGTATTTCCCTTGCCTTTCCTTCTATTGATTATAATTACGAATGTTGATAGGCATATAACTTCCTAAAAACATTTGAGATATTAATTTAATATATTTACTCTAAATATGAACTTAGAATTATTACAGTATAATTATACTTTCTGTACCGCGAGCAAAATATAGCAACGTAAGTAATTAACTAGTGTATAAGTTTGTCTTAGTTTAAATAAAGTTCATTGGTTGCAAAGTTCAGTGTGTGATAATTTTTGTAGTATTATTAACGGACCGGTCATAAAGTATGTGTACTGGGGGGTGGAGGATATTCCAAAATTCTACCATAAATTTGGCTTTAAAAAAGCGTCGGAAAATATTTAGCCCCCCTCCAAAGGAGATGGGAAATGTTTCGTAACCCCCCCCCCACACACACACAACCAATCACCCTCGCTCCAAAAACATAAAATTCTAAGAACATAACTGTTTTGCAAATTATTGCAATCAATTGTCTGTATTGAAATATTTAGCGTAGTTAATAAAATAGAGAGTGTACATGTTGAACATGATATCTCATGTTCAACATGAGAAATAAATCTGGTATTTCCAAGCACCCATGTATTTTTCTTTTAATTATGTATAAAGGGCAGTCTTTGAAAAGCGATAATTTTTACAGAAAAGTGATAATTGAAAGGCGATAATTTTCACATGACTGTGAGATTATCGTAAATAATTTCACATGTGAGATTATCACTTTTATCAGTGCTTGCCTTCTCTATAAAGCACTATTTATATGCCCTTGGTGAAAATCTGGGTTAGATCTAGAAAAAAAGAAAAACATTGCTCAAAATCTTAATACCAATTTTTATACAAAAACGCTCAAAACACCAATTCATTAATTAAAAAATTGTGAAACAAACAAATTACTCACGAAATTATTTGCTGATTTTGCTCTCCAGTTACTTGCAAATTTCTCCTGTGACGTTTTGATTGAATACTAAATATAAACTTTGTTTTATCACTCATTCGAAAGTAAAAGCTAAAACTAATTTCGCAAACAAACACTTAACTCGAGACTACTCAAAGTTCTCAGAATCCAACTTTGTCAATGATCTTTCCCGTACTGGTTTGAATCATGTTGTTGATTTGAGCGAAAATGATATAAACAAATCGTTTTCAACATTTTACAATAAGTTAAATACAGTTATCAAAAAGCACGCTCCCCTTAAGGAAATTTCAAAGCGTAAAGCAAAGCAGTTAACAAAGCCATGGATAACTAAAGGTATCAGGAAATCAATTAAAATTAAGAATAGGTTATATAATCGCGGTGATAAGGATAAATATAAATTCTATAGAAACAAAATTTTGACACTCACTCGTCGGAGTAAAAAGGAATATTGTCATAGATATTTTGAGTACAACTTTGCAAATACTAAAAAGACCTGGGAGGACATAAACGAATTAATTAATCGGAAGAAGCAGTCAACTAGACCTATCCCGTCTTTAAAATGTCCTATAAGCAACAGAATGATATATGACGAAAGTAAGTTTCCAAATATATTCAATAAATATTTTTCATCAGTGGGTCATAATTTAGCTAGTAATATGCCAAATTCACAAATTCCATTCACAAATTATCTTCCAAAGATAAATAACCGAGGATCATTTCAATTTAATCCTATCATACCGCACGAGATCGAAATAGAAATTATGTTAATTCCAATGAAAAAGGCACATGACCTATACTCATGCCCAACTCGTATTTTAAAATGCGCTAGACACGTTTTATCCATTCCTTTATCTGATTTAATGGATAAATCGGTTGAATGCGGCCAATATCCAGCTAAATTAAAACACTCAAAAGTTATCCCTATTTACAAAAAGGACGATGAAACCGATCCTTCTAATTATAGACCAATATCTCTTTTATCAATTTTTAACAAAATTTTTGAGAAACTGATGTATAATCATTTAAAATCTTTTCTTGAGAAACAAAATATCATATTTAAATTTCAGTATGGTTTTCGGGAAAAATATTCAACTTAGCATGCAATTTTAGATATAGTAAATCAAATCCAATCTAACACGTCTCGTAAATTGTTCACTTGTGGTATTTTTGTTGCTTTGCAAAAGGCATTTGACACTAGCTGTAAACTACTCAATACTTTTAGATAAATTGCATCATTATGGAATAAGAGGCATTATAAACGATTGGTTCTCCTCTTATCTGTTAGGTCGTATCCAAACTACTCAAATTGGTAAAATATATCTGAAAAAGAAGAAACTCTTTCTGGCGTTCCTCAGGAATCTGTTCTGGGACCGCTACTATTTTTAATTTATATAAATGATATGTATAACTCCTCCGATAAACTGGCGTTTTCCTTATTTGCAGATGACACTAATTTACTATATGCTGACATGCAAGAATTTAAAAACACTAGAAAATATTGTCGATACTGAACTTCTTAATATCCCTAAACATAAAAAATCTAATTTTATTATTTCTCATTCTTACCAAAAACGGCCGGATTATGCGGTAGATTTGAAGATGTATGATGCTCAGTCCAATACTTTCGCCTCACTAGCAACTAAAAATTACATTAAATACCTCAGTGTTCTCATGGACTCAAATCTTTCATGGAAATTTCATATTGGGTACATCGCCTCTAATCTTAGCAAACGAATTGGCATAATTGCTAGGCTGCGTCATTTTGTACCAGTTAGTATTCTAATAAGTATCTATAAGTCCCTTATACTGCCTTACCTAACTTATGGTATCGTTGTATGGGGATGTGCTGCCAAATGCTACATTGAGAAAATCCTTAAACTCCAAAAACGCGCTCTTCGTTTAGTATATTCTGCACACTATCTTTCTCATGCCATTCCTTATTTTCAGTCAGCTAATGTTCTGCCAATAACTTTGCTTTATTACAAATCAGTATCAATACTATTACTAATGCAAGACGTATCAAGAACAGTAGCACCCCCAAATATTTTGTCTTTGTTTACCCCATTAAATCAGGTACACGAACACAACACCAGATCTTCCACTAGGAAGAACTTCCACGTTGAATATTCAGGTTTAGACGTGCAAAGCAAATCATTCTCAAGAATGGGAGGTAGAATTTGGAATAGCATTCCTACAGAACTACGTGAAAAACCAAAGAATCACTTTAAAAAAGTTTTACATAGAAAGTTACTTCAAATATTAGAAATGAAAGACGACTATATTGATATTCTAACAATAATCTAAAAGTTAAATTATTTACGATTTTGGATTTAAGTCTGATCATTCGTTAGAGATTATGTTTGTATATATGGTGAATGTATTTCTATCGTATGCCTTTTGGTGATGAATAGTGCTTGTATTTACTAAATGAATTTTGAAACTTCTTTAATTCCGAATGTGTGTAGTTGCTGTCCACCACGATTAGCTTTTGCTATTTGTGGACAGCAAGATTTTCATTGATTTTCTAAATTAGTTTGACATAATAAATTGAATTGAATTGAATTGTGCATGGAAAGCGATCGGATTAAGGTTTGTGTCAGGCTATATTTCAAAATAGAGCCTGATCTCAGGTTAGGATCTCACATATTTGTAGACTTTGGTTATATCAACAGAACATCGTGACGCATTTCATATCTTTCTCAATATTTAAATCATTCTAAAACAGAGACGTGCTGGCTAGGGACGAGCCAACGAGAACTTGTTGTGGGCCCTTGCCATCATGGACCACTAAAATCAAAACATTGGAATTTTTTCAAACATCGAGATTTTAATTTTCAAAATCAAGATTAAGATATATGACAGTTTATATTGTAAAAATAAAAATTCACGAAAATATTACGGAAGAATTTTCGTATGTTGAACCGAAAAGTTACGATATGCGCGGAAAAAATGTAGTATTTCTGGAAAATTAACGATATGTCGGGAAAAATTTTTGCATTCCAGGAAAAATTACGATATGTGCTACATTGCAATTTATGGCTAGGAAAATTTAGGAGCATACACACAATTTTTAAAAAAATATATTGTATTGTAAAAGTCTGTAGTTTTATTAATCATAGACATAGCATTCCACTCATTTTTTGTTTCGCACCCGGTTCTGTTCATACATTCATGCAAACTCTACCAAATTTGCTTCATGCAACGAGTAATGCGAATTGAATTTTGTCCCGTAGGATGAGCATCCAAAACATCCTAGGCCGTAGGATGAGCATCCAAAAGATGCAATTCCGTAGTATGAGCATCCAAAAGATGCAATTCCGTTGCACCCCTCGTGGAACTACGTAATTTTCACATGAATCAATAGATAAAAACTTACTTTATGAGAATCCGTCGCTCCCCAAGCGAAACAGGTACACAATTGCGAAAATAATCCCTCCAAAGTTCGCTATTTTCCCGCTTCGAAATATTAATTATTTTGGTACCAAATACGCATGCGCTAGTCAGCCAAACTCGCACTGCGCACGCGCAGACGCGAGAAATGGATTGTCCCTGTGGGTTTTCCCCGATTTCCCTCGTAAAAACAAGAAAATAAAATCACAGAATAAATATCAAACCTTGTAATAATAACGAATAAATACACACACATGAAATATTGTTTAAAATACATTGTACATTTTGCTTGCTCATATGCTAAATCACTTCAATGCATTCATGTTTGAAATTACCGTTTTAACGTTTAATTCTACTTATTAACATCCTATAATTACAAATTTGTGTGAATTAACAAACCCACCTGTATGAAATGGGACGGAGAATATATAAATATATATCGATTCACACGATCAAGGAGCAAATTTAAATATTCCGCTAAACTAAAGCCTTGGCCAAACGTAAGAAATATTGTCGCGGAAATAATTCGTGACTTTCAATGTTTGCTCAAATGTTTCCCTGTGTCCTACATCTGGAAACATTGGCTTTTATTGCAGAAACAAAATTTGCTTCCTGGAAAACAAAAATATTTCCTACCAAATTAGAAACATTTCAGCGAAACACTCTTTCTCCGTTTGCCGATGCTGGTAAGACAATATAAAATACCGAAACATCAGTAAGATACTGAATAATATGATATCTTTGCGCAACAATGTTTCCCAGTTTGCCGCGGGCAAAAAGTTTTTGCAAACGTACAAAATACTGTTGTGCAAAAAGCAAATTATTTTCATGAAGTATCTGTCAGTTGAAGTCGTCATTTGTAACACAACAAATTTTGAATTTGACCAATCAGTGTTCGCTATTCATGACAGTGACAGACAGTCCGCCATATATTTGAGATCAGTTAGGATGACCACCCACGGTTGGTGACCCACGCCTGCGATACAGACATAATATTCTCAGCACTATATAGACTAGAAAATACATGCATGCATAAACCCTCGCCTTGCTGACAAAACCATTGTATTTTCGGAACATGAAGTTCTAAAGTAGTTGTCATGGTAACACGATAATTTTTTAAGAATATTCTTACAAATGAAAAATCGCCTAAAAATATCACTTTTAATTACAAAATGATTAATTTCCCAACATAAATATATGTTAGGTATGTTTTTATACGTAATATAAGCCTCAATTTAAGGTAAAATTCAACCACAAACGCTTCGCAAAACGTTTTAAAGTCACTAGTGTTCTTTATAAAACTAAACTGCCTTTTAAAATGGCTTTATCGATAAACTTTGAGTTAGCAATAAAATGATTTCAAATTCTGGCTTGCAAATAACTCAGTGCTTTCTTTTTTATTTAGAAATTCAATATCATAAAAAAGGGAATCAATATTAAAGATACACTAAAATTATATGCTGTTTGTTTAGTTGTTTCATATACGCAAAGGCCGTCGGGTTTTAAAGCCATTATAAAATCAATATTTAAAACAAACTTACCTTCGTTAACGTCGGCTCCCTTCTTTTAGACGATTCTTTCGCAGTTTCATTTTGAGAGAGCTTTTGAAATTTACAAAATCTTGCAAAAATGCGAGTAAAAATGAAATATATTTGCAAGAAATTTATCAATCATCAAATCAAGAAATGTTTGCTATTTCGCTGTCGTGATACATTCGTGCCAGTCGTTATAATGCAAAATTTAAATTGGACCAATCAGTGTCCGCTATTCATGACAGTCCGCCATATTTTTGAGATCAGTGAGGATGACCACCCATCGTTGGTCACCCACGCCGGCGATATTTGATGAACTTTAGACTCCGCTAATGCTTTCGTTTCCCCGGGTGTAAATAGCCGGGGGGAATTAGTACCCTCGCACGGCGCTTCGCGCCGTCGGCTCGGGGAAAACCGCTCATTCCTCAATAGTACACAATAAAATTTTATAGCATTGATATAAACAACAGTTCATGCTATAAACATCTAAGTTATTGGAGTCGCAATTTAGACAGTTCAAAATCACTTCTAAGGGATAATACATTGACCTAAAATGAGCAATTGCTTCGAATTACAAAAGAACAAACTCATCTGGAATGGCGACTTAAGCGAATTAAAGTCCTACGTCGCAGAAAAGTTAAACATAAATGGTAAATGGAAATCACCATCAGGTGGACGCTGGTTTATTTACTAGCGATGCTTTGTCTATAACCTGGTATTGTAAAAGCAAAACTGTCTTATTTCAAGGTCCTCGTGGCAGCGAAGTGGCTGACTCTTTGAAGAAAAACATCGATGCATCGCGAATTGCAATAGTGAAAGATGCCGAGCTAAACATTGCTACCCCTGCTGTTTCCGAAAGACGGAATGAATCTATCAATAACCAGTGTAGTCTCAGTATTAACAATTCTAACTCGAACATGTTTGATAGATCTAGTAATACCACAACAACTATCAACCGAAGCGACTCGGATGCTAGCGAAGGAAAAGCAAATGAGCAAGAAATGTGTTCACACAAGCAGAACGAAGGCGATTATATAATGAATTGCAAAGACTGTAGTAAATTATCTGTAGAAGTAGCAGAAATTAAATTGGACTTGGCATTATTATTTCTAAAAGTTAATACTGCTGAAGCTCCCGCTACATGTGAATGCAATCGGCTACGAAACGAAAATCAGCTATTGAAACAAGAAATTAAATTACTCAAGGAAACGCTGCACGGCATGGAATTGTCAAAATCGACAATTAGCATCGCTATCGATAATATTAATAATCAACCAACCATCACTGACAATGACTCTGTCGTACTAATTGATATAGAAGAATCTGAAGTTAACGTAAACACTAATATGAATAATTTACCATTTGCGACAGACAATGAGAAACAATATAATATCCGAGGGCCAGTTGTTAATGACTCTCTTACGAAATACAGAAATCCCAATAAACCAGTCGTCCAAGACTCCCTGACCTCATTCGATCATCTCCTGAAAGAAAAGGCCGCCTTAAACGCCAACATGCATCGTCATAAGAGGAATCGAATGCAAAATTCTCCAACTAACAGAACGCATTTCTCGAAACCTAATTACCGGCGCAATCAGGCCGCCTTAAACGCCAACATGGATCGTCATAAGAGGAATCCAATGCATAATTCCTCAACTAACAGAACGCATTTCTCGAAACCTAATTACCGGCGCAATCAGTTTTCCGAGCCTAAACATCAATATCGTCAAGCAAATTTTCCCTCAAAGATTTTTCGAAGCGGTCGCCATCGGAGGATTCCGAAACCAAGAACAACAGCAGACAATACAGATACAAGAGCAAGTCAAATCAACCCGGCATACAAAGTGAATCCTTTCCAATCAAAGTCAGAGTTACAGCTTGGAGAAACGGAGTCCTGGGAAGCTTACCTACAGCTGGTCAACCGCACCTTGGACCAGTTTGGAACCCTCGTTTAGGCGCAATCCAACGGACAAGTGATAATTATACATTTCAGAGAAGTGTAAATTTTTAATAATTTAATTAACATTAAGACTAACACAAACCCCACCATTGGAAAGTCCTCAGTCCCGTCCTTCCTCTTGTCAAATGTATGCCATATAACAAATAAGGTAGACGAATTAGCTGCTGTTGTATCGATCTATGACCCATCCGTGGTAATGATAACTGAATCTTGGCTAAGTGATGATATCGGTGATTCCTCGGTTAAGATCGGTAATAAATACAACATATTTCGTCGCGATAGAAAGTCTCCTGGCGGTGGAGTGATCGCCTACGTGAATAATTGTTTACCAGCAGAGCGTATGACTCACCTCGAAGAAGAAAACAAAGAAGTGATATGGTTGTTGTTAAAACCCCCCAGAACCCCTAGACCTTACAGTACAATCGTTGCTGCTGTTGTGTACTACCCTCCTGGTCAATCCGCCGAACAAGCAATCGATATGAATGAATACTTAACTACTTGTATAGATAGTCTCTTGCGCGAACGTCCTTCATCTGGAATTGTTATAGCTGGGGACTTCAATCAACTAAAATTAAGAAAACTATGTAACAGATTTAATTTAAAAAGATCTGTAACTAAACCGACTAGAGGACACAACATTCTTGATCAAATCCTCCCTCTCTTTGACACTGTTAGCCATCAAATATGCTCCCTCTCTTTGACACTGTTAGCTATCTCCCCCCAATCGGACGCTCCGACCACCAATGTCTTCTAATCAAGCCCATTAAAAGACAGAAAACTCCGGTTACGTCAAAAAAAATTAGATTGATGAAACGAGCAAATTTAAATGACCTCTCCCTGAATATGGCTTCTGAAGATTGGACTGCTGTATACTCAGCACTGGATGTGGATGAGAAAGTATCAGCTTATAACTCCATTATAATCAAGATGCTTGACGAGTTCTTACCCGAAAAAACCATCAGAGTACATCACTCTGATAAACCGTGGATCACTGGTAATATTAAAATGCAAATCAAAGCTCGTCAGAAAGCCTTTTCTCGTGCTGTTATATCTCGATCGATGCGTCGAACGTTGTATATTCAAATGCGAGACGTGGGTTTCATTTTATACATAAATTTATTTCACCAAAAACCAGACAACATGCTTGACTATAAGTCTCGAGTCTCTCGTTCAAAACCTACTCGTATTTCACAACATTTAACTAAGCTATATAATATAATATGCGGCGTTGACAAGTGTTGACAAATACAATACAGTTCGAGTTCGACCCCTTAGGGCTTGTCGCTCAAGAGTATTATAACTAAGATTAATAAAACTAAACGTATATAAACAGGGTCATATCGTGCGGGCGGAACATCGCCGGCCCCGTGTTCATCATCGACTTAGAGGGTGGACACGCTCTTTTCCAAGGATTGAGTTGCTTCTTCAAGTAAGGCAATCTTTGCTACAGGCCGCACGAGTGTTCCTCTTTTCGTTTTGACCTCGACAGCGCGGACGATTCCTGAGTCTCCAGTAATCGGGCGGATCACGCGACCTAGTGGCCAAACTCCGCGGGGGGATTCGGGGTCTACGACAAGTACGAGATCACCCTTTTGAAGGTTCCGGGCTTGTGTAGTCCACTTTCGTCTTTGCAATAAATTGGGGACATACTCCTTCAACCATCGTTTCCAAACGTGATTGGTCACAACTTGAGCTTGTCGCCATCGACGTCGACTAGATATTTCCTTGCTGACGAAAACATCGGGCGGTAAATTCGGACTAGGGCGACCGAGGAGGAAATGGTTTGGAGTCAAGGCTTCTTCATCGGAGAGATGAGTGCTGACGTGGGTGAGAGGACGGCTGTTTAACAAGGCTTCGACTTCGGCCATAACGGTGAGTAGGACCTCGTCCGTCAGGGTCTGTTTCCCAACGACAGCTTGGATCGCTCGTTTACAGGACTGGACTAGGCGTTCCCAAACACCACCAAAATGAGGCGCGGCTGGTGGGTTGAAATGCCATTCAATCTCTTGTTGTACCATCTCGTCGTGAATTTTACCTTTATTCCAGTTCTGGAGACATTCACGCAGCTCTCGGTTGGCGCCGACAAAGTTGGTACCGTTGTCAGATAGGATTCGTTGAGGCTTTCCTCTTCTTGAGATCATCCTGCGAAGCGCCATAATGTAGGAATCAGTGTCGAGCGTGTAAGCGATCTCGATATGGACGGCTCGAGTGACCAAACAGGTGAACAGACATCCATATCGTTTCTCAGTCTTGCGAAGACGTTTAACGGTTAATGGCCCGAAGTAGTCCACTCCGACGTGAGAAAACGGTGGTAGATGTGCCTTCAATCTGACGCTTGGAAGGTCGGCCATCTTCGGAGCATGTGGTCGGGCTCGTTGTCTACGACAGTAAGGACAGTGGTGGGCGATCTTTCGTATTTCGGCGCGACAATTCAAGATCCAAAACTCCTGACGAATGGCGTTACGGACATGCTCATTACCTTCGTGGTAAAGACTTTCGTGGAAGTGGGTTATGATAAGCCTTGTGACATCATGCTTCGGCGGGAGGATAATTGGATGTCGCGTAGAGTATGGAACTGGAGCTTTGGACAGCCGGCCACCAGCCCGGAGTAAGCCATTCTCATCGAGGAACGGCGTCAAGGTCAAGATTCGACTTTGTCGAGAGATAGGTGTTTTGGTCTGTAGCCCACGAAGTTCGAGAGAAAATTGTTCGATTTGGGCTCTCTTTATCCACATATCTCTGGCTTTGTTGTGTTCTGCGACGGTGATCAATCCTAACTGCCGCTCTTGCTGTGGTTTTTGACAGTTCGTGATAAATCGGAGGATCCAGCCTGTGGTACGTATCAGCTTGTTCCAGGAGGAGAAATGAGCGGGGTCGAGGGAAACGTGCGGAGCTTGGTGGG